ACATCGAAGACAAGACGACGCAACATGCTATCTACTTCCGGCCTAGTTTTTGTCCTCTTTGCCGTCGTAAGTATACCGTTTACCTATTTTTTTTGTCTATATAATTAACAAGATTAAAATTTGGTCGGTAATCACGTTAACATTTTGTTTGTGTTGATTTCTTTCGACCCTTGTTATTATGGTGAGTGTACAGTTTTGAAATAATTGGATCACGGAAAATGTAAACGTGATTTATAACTATACTATATTTCTATTGTTTCGCTGCTTTTCACTGCATTTTACACCTTGTTAGTCGAAATATTGCATAAGCTACTGTTGAGCATGAATACCTAACAATCTCGTTAAACCGAAAAGAAAAACTAGATTTGTAGTACATTGGTGACATTCACCGTTTTTGTGTATTTATATGTAGATCACTAGAAACTTCGTACCGCCTAAACTGTTTCTCACCTTTTAAACCTTCCTTAGACCTCTACGAACATTCCAAGACCACAATTGGACAAATTCATCAGCTGTTCTGGAGTTTTAGGGAGACCAACGAGCGAAAAATCATTTTTATTTATATAAATGTCAAATAATTCCAAAAACTACCCACAGTTTCAGGTGAAACCAGCGATGTGTTATATTAGATTAACCACCTGATACGAACCACCCAACTAGAGTAATACATCATGTCGCAACACTGTAATTAACGTTAGCAAACAAACTAATATGACAGCGGTCTAACCATTACTGCGATGTTTATTACATTTCAGAATAAACTATATAAATGATACAATTCAATGAGCAAGTCGAGGAGTCAAGATATAATCAGTGCAGTCCAAGAAAGGAGGTTGTTGTTTTAATTGATTTATAAGAACACATTATAGCCAATTAAAGTTTTCTTAGCAATTACATGGACAGTTTATAGACTCACAGCGTTTATTATGTAAAAGCCGTGAACTGATCTTATTTGAGTTGTCGTATTTTGTGACACTGAGCATTTGTTTCTTGAGTAAAAGTCGAGATCTCTGCGCCCACGCTTCATTAGTCAAGCTGCTGAATCCTCCGTTTACACCACATTCGTGTGTAATTAATCCGAGTAAACTGTCGAAAATTGCTTTTTTTATAACTTTTTAAATAAACTGGCGTAGGTGTGTAATGTTTGGTCAATTGTTTGTCGCAGTTGAACAAGTTCAGTAACCATTGAGACGCATAAAACACAGTTCAAAGCCACCCGTTACCGCTCATTGACAGGTGCTTCGTTAACTCTCGCTTAATCCTAATTAATAGACTATTAGTGTACGTTTTCAATTACAACGAATGATTTATAATAACCATACACTAAGTATTCGCTGATAAATGCCCATAGAGATTGTGGTCACATAAATAAACAGGATTAATGGTTTTAAAAATCTATTTTATCAATGTTTTTTAAGAAATTAAATTAACATGGAAATGTCAAAATATTGTGGTATGTCTTCGATTTTAATTACGATATATTTTGTGATATAAATTTTTTATAGTCACATTAAGTCGGATTAGTAGCATTTATTATTTACTCGTTTACGGTTCTTCGCTCGTTTATGAGCAAAATTGTGAGTTCTTGGCTGTAGTAAGTGTTTTAGCGTCCATTTTAGTTTTGTATAAAGACATTAACGCCAAATAAAAAGGCAAAAGGACGCTTTAAAGGCGATCCTTAAGTATGACATTACGGAAAATGGAATAAGGTTCCCAATTTATCTGAGACAAAGACTAAGGAGATAATAAATGTCATTAAGAGTGGACCTTTCGTGTACGATCACCATAAATTGGTTGAATGTTCAATTAGCATGCATTTGTTCATGTTTGGGTGTAAGCCAACACACAAGAAGTATGTAGGCGTTACAGTCATGCCTAATTGTATTGTTACTCATCCATTTTATTTAGAATTCAGTAACTGAGTTTACTTTTTGATTTATTTGTTGTACATCCGCTTTTTGTTGGCTGTGAATGACGAATTAGATGCTACATTTGTTTTGAGTGTCTCCAACGCTTTCGTAGCCAAGAAGTTACTATTGTTGTAGTTTGGGTATGGTCTACTTTGTATCCTGAAGATGTGGTCAGACTTAATTTTTTGTAATGCTTCGGAACGAATGGGCCGGTTTGACCGGAGTGATACTGTGCTTGTGTTGTGTTTCGTGGTGCGAGTGAGGTTACCGGAGGCCCATTTACCCCCCTTCCTTCCCCAATGTCCCCAGTCCCTGATTCCCCAACAATCCTCAAAAGATCCAAAATTCCTAATCCCCAAAAGGCCGGTAACGCACTTGTAACTCCTCTGGTGTTCCAGGTGTCCATGGGCGATGACAATTCTTTATCATCACGTGATCCGTCAGCTCTTTTACCGACTTATCACATAAAAAAACATCATATTTTAATTCGTCACGTTATTATTGTGATTTTGTGTAAAATGAATGTGCCTTCTACTTGTCTTTCCTAACTTTTTGATATAGCTGCAATTTTCTTATCAAACTAGGGACGAAAAGAGTATCACAATATAACCGTTACTTTATAAGCTACTGACATTCCGTTGGACAATATTTAGTCTTAGTCTAGCCTTGTCTCAAATAGGAAATTAGCATCCGTACTGTATTAAACGTTGCATATCAATGGAGGATACATTCTCTAGTTAAAATTACCATAGATAGTGAAATTTTCTTTGGATCGAAAGACCATAATACATTTGCAAACGTGTGCGAAGTAAATAAAAGAACGCGATGCTTTATAAGATAAAATGTTAATAAAGACAGTTTAACCATAAGTGGTTTGAAACATTTTGTTGCATTATATTAGTCCCGGTAATAAAGTTGATACTTTGTGTGAATTTGCTGTTCCGTAATTGTGTACGATTGTCAATAAAAGTCTTCGAAGTGAGGAGTTTATTGCTGTTATGGAGATAGAGTGAGTCACAGTGTGTTGGTATGTTACCTACTTCAAAAAAAGTAGTAGGTACTATATTCGAATGATTGTTTTTTTTAATGAAAGTTGAGTCATTTACGATATTTGTTGGCTATTTCTTCTACAGGTGAATGTTAACCTGAAGGTTGAAAAATTTCAGTTCAGTTAGTAGTTTTATTTTTATATGTTTAATGAAAGTTTTAGAGAACTTTTGAATATAAACTTATGTAGATATTAAAATATACCAGAGCTATTAGCCTATCTGATAATTTAAAAAAATAAACAAGCCGACATAGTTTGAAAACAAACACTATCAGTAATATCCATCAATAACTTAAATAACTAATATCGACTAATCAGTACATATATTTCGTAACAACACTTCAATGATTGACCAATAGGAACGTGTTTCCACTGATAAGATATCTTCCATTGGTTCCATTTTTGCAACCGATATAAGACTTTCCAATCGGTTCGTTACAATTTCAAATCGACATAGTAAATCGTGTTTTGTTAACTTACAATGTATTTATGAGAAGAAATTGAGTGAGGTGGACAATTGGACATAGAACAATGCATCATTGAATGATCCATTATGGACATGAAGCATTGTATTTCAATCGTCTCTACTGGTTATCGTGAACTGAAAGTGGACACATCAAGCTATGCATTACCAGTGTAAGCTGACCCTTAAATATGAGGAATAAGAATACGAAGCGAGATCACGATTAACTGGTTATTACAGTTTGAGTTGTACATGTCAATCACTTTGTTCCTACTTGTAAACGTTCGTCTTCAATGTACTTTATGTTGTTTTGTATTAGGGAATTTCTTCGGTGAAGAGAAATCGATTTTGAAGTAGCTTTTACTAGATTTCTATAACAGGATCGAAGATTTGATGACATAGGTGTGTACGTACATAGTCACAGTTGTTTAATCACAATGAAGAGTTTCATGCTTCCTTCTCCAGACCTTTAGATGAAATTTTAAGAAGAAAACATTAAATATAATTTTATTGAATTAAAATAGTTTGTTAAGATTGATAAGCGATTAGCTCTAGATGTTTCTAAAACGCAAAAACAATACAACTTACAACCATTTTTTTATATGATTAGCCGGTAAAAGACCAGACAAATCACTTGATGGTAAGCAATCGGCGCCGCCCATGGACACCCGAAACATCAAAAGCGTTACAAGTGTGTTTTACCGGACTGTTGAGGATTAGAAATTTGAGGATTGTTAGGAATTCAGGGATTAGGGAGATTGGGGAGGGAGTAATTTGGCCTCCGGTAATATAAATACTATGAATTTTAAATAGCCTAAAGATCGCTGTTTCTGCTTACTGACTTAAGTAGTAAATGTCGGTACATTTCACATACAAAGATGTCATGATTGTCATGTACCGCCCTAGATACATAAAAGGTTCTGACCAAACTGATTTACAAAGGGTAAACGTAATCTTAACTCGCTGTTCTGAATACTTAATCCAAGTGTATGACAGACAGCAGTGTCATCAATGATATTTATGTGATTACCAAACTTACATTGGGTGTGCATAATAATATCTATTGCTACAGACTTCAAGGAGTATACTGAACTCAGGTCTACTATACTAGATCTGAAATTAAGAATTATTTTATACACAACGCTTAAAAAATCCGACTTGAACCCCCTCTTTTTTGAGGTCGGTTTATTAATATAACTACTAAAAACTTATCCTAATTAACAGTAACAAACAGTTTTTTGAAAACCGCTTTAAAATCGGTTCAGCCAATCACAAGATAATCGCGCACAAACATACATACACATACACAGGTGAAACTGAGAACCTCCTTCTTTTTTGAAGTCGGTTAATAAGAGTCCCTACATGAGATAATGGGAATAACAAATTAGCTTGTAAACTATCCTACTAGCACTCTTCACCATTTCTCCTCAAGGTGGAAAGCGATTTTAACTAGTTTTAAATATATGACTTCCAAATTTCCGCACCATTTATTAAAGTCATACTTCTTTGTACCAGTTTGTTTTACATACTTTCCATGTTCTTTTCTATACTTCAAACTAATCTTCACTCTTGTCCTCAGGCGGTGGGTCGCGAAGGTGTCCTATCTTCGGCTTCATCTCGCGAGTTACGCTGTGGTCGGCGACTGGTGTCAGGCCTCTTTTCCCGACCACGTCTACCTCTGGGATATTCTTATGTGACTACTGTTCCTCGTGGGGCCTGCAGGCTCAATGTCTCGGAGATCATGCCCAGCGAGAATTATATAGGTAAGCATTTATAATTTATGTAAATGAAAATTAAGCGACATTGTTTTGATGAAGAAGAAAAGGCAAATGTTAGAATCGAAACAAAAGAAGGTAATGAGGATGATAAAACAAAAACATAAAAGGTAATGAATGAAGAGTTGATATTAATGGATTAGTTTACAATTATAGTGGCCATGGCGAAGCCTACCTCATGTCGGTCCCACGGAACAGGTGTGACTGTAAACGATAATAATTACACTACAGTTATATAGAGAGAACATTGTTAGTTTTAAATCATTCGGAACAAAACATTAATCAAAGTTGTTGAAAAAAATATACGACTGATGAATGGAACGAACCTATTCGCTAGACATTTTTATTTATCATTCTACAATACTTGGTGAATAGTCCTTTGATAAAGGCTAATGGGCCGCGAACGTAAGGTTTGGTCACTTATCAATCAGCATTATAGATGAAGTGGATAGTAAATCATTTGAGATCGTCTAGTTTAGGTAACCACGCCCACTTTATTACAGATACTAAAATGACTTCATCCGGGTTTATACGCAAAACAAAATTAATTTCTGACTTCACTGACAGGTCGTTTACAACATGTCTGTTCTAACAATTAGTGCATTGAACACTTGATGTTTAACACGAGTGGGAAGAAAAGTAAATACGGACTTGGATTATAAATTGAATGTCAATCAAATCAAAGGATATGCTGCAAACACTTAGTATCCAATAGACATTTGACAACTTGTGTGCACTTACAGCTTTGAAGATATCCAATGGGTCGTACATTATGAATGGTGAGTTCGCGGTGTCGGCGGCGGGCACGTACGAGGCTGCGGGCGCGCGCTTCGTGTACACGCGGCAGGGCTCGCTCGACAGCGTCGTCGCACATGGACCTATACACCACCCTATCGACATCATGGTACATAGGAAATACATTATCATAACCATTACAATTCATATCAAATAAAAACCAAATACATTATCCATCACTAACCAATTGCTATTTATTGATATCATAAATTGTTCGATAATCTGTTACGCTAAATTGAATGGATATTTATGTTGCTTATATTTCCAGATACTTTATACTCAACCGAATCCAAGTATAAAGTATGAGTATTTCACGGAATCACTTCCTGGTGAGATTGAAAGTGATAGTGTGACGAAGGCTGACTTCCCTGAAGTGTCGTCTACGGCTGTGACGAAGCACTACAGACGGCATCACAGTTACGACGCGTTCCCGAGGACAAACGCTGCTGTACCACGACATCCAGACCTTAGTTTTAGTAATGAAGATGATGCTGATCAGGTGGTGGTTGGTAATATGAAGTTTATGTGGAAGATATTGTCTTATTCCCAATGCACGAGAACTTGTGGAGGTGGAATACAGGTAAGTGACATTCCCATGGAATTTCCTCATTTTTGGTACGTATTGTACCCATATAATACACTAGACACAGTAACTTTGGCCTACATGCTGCCAATCGGACAATGAGGCGTCTAGTCAGTCTGACCGATAAATATCTAATTGAAATCAATCTGTAGCAATGCTTTATGACCGGCGCAGTTTGATAGCAGACCATTTCGGGGCAATTGGTAATGAGCTGTTGCTTCTTCCACGAAGACTGATTTCTTTGTAGTTGATATAAATATTAAAATGCATTTTAATTCGTGGTACTTTCCAAAGAGAAACTTATTTTTTTCCTCATTACTTTACAGTTTTTCCTTTTTCCTCATTACTTTACATTTACATAACAGTTAACAGCATAGGCTGCTATGGTCGTCTCGTACTTATTTTTTTTTTAAATCTGGACTAATCAAAAATATATTTCACAGTTGGGTAAGTTCCGATGCGTGGAAGCTAACGGCAGTAACCGCGAGGTGGCAGCACTGCACTGTGCCGGTGTAGCTCCTCCTGCCCGACGTCGGAGGTGTGCTAACATTCCTTGTCCACCTCGCTGGAGAGCTGCTGCCTGGAGTAGTTGTCCCAAATGTGGACCAGCAACCAGGACCAGGATTGTTGGATGTGTACAGGACCATGCCAGGGGTATTACTAAGGTATCTGTTCTGTTAAAGATCCTAACCTTCAATTCCACGTGACACTTCCTAAAAAGTAAACTCGAAAATGTTTAATTGTACTAATTTTGGATTTTAATAACATATTTATTCCATTTTCTAACAAAGAAACTCTTTTTAGATAAGCGACCAAAAATGTCCGCTACCAAAACCAACGACATCAGAAAAGTGTATTATCCCAGAATGTGACAAAGTTATTGGTGGAGAAGTGAGACAGATCTTGTCGAAACGTGTGACGAAACCAAAGGACCATACAGATAACTTTAGAGAAGGTCCAGTCTATTCAGTAGCTGTTAACAGCACGGATTTTGATGTTGGGCCCGAATACTCATTTAGTCCTGCGGCTGGATGGCTCTATACTGACTGGTCAGAGGTGAGTACTTACTAAAATTCATTGGTGGCAAAAAGTTTGCCACCATTTGTTGTGAATAGGTTAGAGTATTTAGTTTTTTCTCCTTTTATTAAAATGTTATTGTATGTACCTATCTGTTATTTTACACAAATTAACTTCACGTGTCAGCTCATAAGCTCCAAATTAGTCCAAAATAATCTTAGTCCAACTCATGTAGGTATAAATTTTACTGCAGACATCAAACCAAAATTTAGAAACACAACCAAAATAGAAATTCAAATTTGTATAACAGTTTAGTGGTGCTCAAAATTTTCATTGAACCGAGGCCGTTTATTTCGGTTGTCCTTACAGGTGCTCAAAGTCATTACTAAGTGCATTGTGATTTATTATTGTTTCACGTCTTCTTTTTGCTCTATATGTGATGTTTTGACTGAACATTAAACATGTGAACGTTATTGCAACAATGCATTGAGCAATTGACGCGTAAAGGTGGTCTTTGATTCATAACAGAGATAAAAGCATGTCAGTTTTGCTTACTTCAACCAATACAATTCATTTAACTTCTAAATCAATATTTAGTGAAATATTATTTGTTAACATTATTTTCGTAAATTGCATCTCACAATCCTGTAGCACACGGTTCTCTTAAATGTTTTAGATCACTAAACTACACCAATTTATTGATGTTTCATCTGAGAAATCGAATCGTCATTATTATTTTTCCGCCGATTTATAGCAAATGGATTGAAAATTGCATTCTGTAGCATATGGTTGTCTAAAATTTATTTCAATGGAAATCTACATGGATCACTAAACAACATCAATTTATTGGCGTTTTATTTGAAAATTTGAATTTTATTTACGATTTATTTTTAAAATTTTTGAACTTATTTATTATTACACACTGATTTATTGTTAGTGCAAAGTTCAGAAGTCAGATTTAGTTCCACCCATACAACAGTTCTACTAATAGCAGTGTTTATTTTATACACATACAGAAATAGAGTTCAATGGAAATGTTTTGCAAAGAAAATGAATAATATTTGTGTCTCAGACACTCATTCAATGTGGGATACTTAACACTAACCATTCATTGAAACTAAAGACTGGATTGTTTAGCGGTTTCTTTGACACTTTATTTATGATTTCATCTTTACATTTTAAACCTGAAACAGACATGTTTGCATTTAGGAGTAGTTGAAGGAATTTGAACTACTGGATCCTCATCTGGAGTTTCTCTAACTGTCTTTTAAAACTCTTGTGCTATTTCACCTGTAAATACTTAAATCCTGACCTTTCCCAAAAGTTTTATATCTGATAGATTTTCATGGTAGACCTTTGTTACCAGTGTGTGGGTTGGTGTGTCGGTGGTGGAGTACAAAGCAGGGGAGTACGATGCGCTGATCCATCAGGATGCTCCCCTAAGAAGGCTCCGGAGTCTTCTCGCACTTGTAATCCGAAGATTGAATGTGAACCTCTTGATGGACAGTGGTTTACTGGTAAGTCAACATTGCAGGGTTTATCATTATTGACTTATATCGCCACCCATGGACATATGTCCATATGTCCTCAACACCAAATGAGTTACCGGCCTTTTGAATTATGAATTTCAATAAGCATCAAAATTATTATGGTTCGAATAAAATAAATGTACAAAATAATTTATTTCTATTTCTAGGGATTTAAGGAGATGTTATCGCTTTGCTGGTTACGGGTATACCTACAGCTAAACATTATAATGAAACTTATTGCATTGCCGTGTAACTTGATGTCTTTAAAAGTAAAATGTCAACTTTTATGATTTATTGCACAATTCATTAATGTTATGAATAAAACTCATAATACTTCTTCACTGAGAATTTAGTTGAAGCTATTTTCGCTCAGTTGTAATTAAGTTTATTTAATTTTAACTTGTTTTACTGATTACACTTTAGATAAGTTTTAAATCGGATTGGAAAGTAATTTCATTTTATGTCTATTTTTTCAGAAGTTAACCTTACCTTTTATCCCCGAAGGGGTAGGCAGAGGTGCTGACAGAAGTGACACCCACTTTTCACTATTTATGTTATGAGTCCCATGTAATAGGGGGTGAGCCTATTGCCATATACCGGGTACATTTCCAGACTCCGTGCTACTACTGAGAATTTTTTTTAAAACCCAGTAATACTTTGCCCGACCCGGGAATCGAACCCGAGACAAGGGGGCCCGGCAGCCGCACTTGCGACCACTCGGCCAACGAGGCAGTCTTAAGTCAGAAGTTATGTTTTAAAAAAAGAGAAACTAGCGGTCCGTAATGACCGATAGAATTTCGTAAATCTTAACAGACTGTTCTTAAGAGAGAAATTCAAATTCATATTCTACCTCAAGTAAGTAGAATCAATCATTTTTTTTTGTTGTAGGTGAATGGTCTCCCTGTTCAGCTCCTTGTCGAGGTAAACAAGTTCGTGGAGTTCTATGCATCGGTGGTACTGGAAGACATTTGAAGGACACAGCATGTCACCTGGCAAAACCTTCTCATGAACGAGAGTGCTCCACTGATTGTAGACCAACCTGGTTCTATGGTGATTGGGGACCGGTACGTACAATTTGATATTATTTAATAATGTTAATAACATAGGCACCAAAAAGTTTATTTAACTGGTAAATGAAATATTCATTAGGTATATTAAAAACTTACCAAAATCGTTTGCAACTCCGGACTATTTTAAATGTACTTTTTGCAGCGACAAAATAGGACGTAATGGTTTCTTATTAAAAGCCACTTGGGAAGAAATATAAAAAATAATACACTGTTTTTGTTATCTGATGTGTTTGCTATTGTTGGTGTGATGAAGCTTAACCTCACTAATACCAACTGATATGCTAATTAAATCGGATTTGTAAAAGCATACAACAGTTAAATATGGGACTCGTAATACCTGAAGCCAAGGATACACTTGAGGACAAACGGCCAACCACACGTATCGCCAGTGACGTTGGGTGGAGTACCGCGACGGTGGCAGACTTTAGTCGACCTGTCTGGCAATATCAACGTCGCTGTGGACATAAGGCATGCGTTGTCACCTTATAATATATCGGGCGAAATCAGGAGGCTTCGCTTGACATGCCGCCGATACACGTCGTGGAACATTTGTCCCCTAGTGTATCCTTGGCTTAAATTACATTATTGCCAATAAAAATTAAAATTGCCTTTTAAACATTCAATTAAAAGTGTACTTAATTTTAAATGCTGTAAATATCATTTTAACAAGATATTAGAATAACAGCGGAGATAATTATGATTTACACATTATTAACGGTTTTTTTTATAAAGATAGAGGAATCAATGTACGACTTAGGATAGAAACTAAGATAAGTAGTAAGACTTTGGGGGCTTTGTCGTATGATTGAATGTTGATAAACGTTTCAGATTACTGGTGAAGATTTGCGATATATCTAACAGACGATAAATGAATACAGTACAAGTCAGTTACAATTAGTTGATAATAGACAGCATCAATGGTATATTGCTAATTTGATTTAGTGTATCCTGACTTTTTGATGGGTCTGAAGAAGGCCTCTTATTGCATGAGGGCAAAATCTGTGATTTTTTATTGGAGTCTATTCAGTCTTCGATATTTTATTACAAATAACTATTATTTAAAATATTTATACTGCTTTCCAGTTTACAGAAACTGCGAAATTATTCGCATCAACAAGTATCCTAAATCCTTGACCTTTCAAAATAATAACCGATAAAAATAGTACCGATTTTCAAGATAAACAATTATTGATTACTTATTGTTGATATACCTTTCCTTTCAGAAACAACACATTCTTCTACTAATCTAATCTTTGTCTTTTGTCGTTAAAAGTCTTGTCCGCATGCATTAGTCCGAAGTCCAGAATAGTGGACACTAGATGACCATTTCAATAAACGTGTAAAAGGACACGTTTAATTAACTGGACGATATGAAGGGAGCCTTGTGATTGATATTCTAATTAGCGGCGTCTACCATCTAGTTTACGATATAGCTTTAGACACTTCTTCGTAACTCCTAATTGCTTTATTGCAACGACCTTCTCAATTCTCCTAGGATCATGTTGTATCTAATGTTCAGGTCTGGGATTAATACCTATCTTAAATTGCTGATTAAATGTCAACTTGCGATAGAAATTATAAATTTTAAAAGCTGTTATGTCAGTTTATTTAGTACTTCATTTAGGCAAATTTAGATAATCTGTAAATATCATTGTGCTTCATAATTATCTTTATCTATAAGTTGCCTAGGGAAGTATAATAGAAAAACTTATCTACGAGTTCACTGAAATGGATTAATGATAACACTAATACCCAAATGTTTTATCATCTAGTGTATTGGCAACTGTTCGAGTGGACCTAGTTCAGGGATACAGCACCGTTCTGTGGTATGCACGAAAGCTGACAATGTTCCTGTCAGTGAGACTGAGTGCGTTTCACCACGTCGAGCAACCCGTACATGTGACCTTACCTGCCCATCTACTACATCAATATCATCTACTTCATCTGCTTCGTCTACTACGTCTACTACGTCAACTTCGTCTACTGCTCGTACAGTCTCAGTTGTTACGCCTCACAGAAAACCATTACAACCAATTGGTGAGTTATTTTCTTGACCATCGTGATTATTGTATATAATCTTCTAAACTAACGACATCGCTTCTAACATGTCTACTGCTTACTTATCTGCTCTGTTTGTACCCGTGTTTGCACTTAAGAAGACCTGATTTAAAAGACCACGTAGTTTTGAAAGTGATACCTCAATTGAATATTTTTAATTTTCAAGTTTTCAGACTCATATGTCAGTAATATGTGTATACAGTAGACTTTAGGATACAATACTGCACCTTGTAACTGAAATAGATTTATAAAAAGACCGAGACCCTTTAATTACCCAAGTGAATAAACAATAACTTCGTTGTATTGGGCCCGTTTTGCTAACAATGTGTTATTTGTTCGTACTTTTGAACATTTCTCCTGCGTTGAGCCTTAAATTATTCTCCAGGGAACAATACTGCGCGAGAGATGGCCTTGCAAGTAGCCTCAGTAGACGAGAAAAGCTGGACGAACCGTTTCATTTGGAGTCCTTTAGTGTTAAAACGGGTATACAAGAGATACCTCGAGACAGCCATTTTTAAAAGATTATCTGATTTAATGAAGGAAAAGAGAGAGTATCCACGAGCAACCAGATTTTTGAGACAAAAGAGTTTCCATGATCATCGATGTGTGCTAAAGTAAATAAATAGGTCATCCTAATTTTGTGAACGCCTACTGTGACTCTGAAGTGTCTGAATATGCGTTTCTATTTTAAATATAATGCAATTAATAATTGAAACAATGTCATAATAAGTATGTGTTAAGAAAAAATACTTCAATGCAAAATTACAATATTCTAGAAAACAAGAAACAGGTGTGTTTTCTGCGTTAAAGATAAGTGAAGATAAATTTTGATAAAAACTTTAGAAATTATTTTGTAGTAAAATTTTGTATCTATACGAAAATGAATCCTCGATATCTATGATTAAGCAACTTGTTCTTATCATAAGTAACTATGTACATTATGATATTACAAAGATTTTTTTCGATAACTATGTCCGGAATATGACTCACAGCAGTGTAATTTTTTAGAATTTGTTTTGATATGTTAGCCTTCAAAATCTGTTTCAAAAGTTTAATTAAACTAATTTCAGTTACAAGGTACCGTGTGTAAGCATAATGTAATTGTATTTTTAATGATTTTTATAATTGACAACATACTTGTAGTCTGATTTCTGTCATTTCATTTTAACATTTTAACACTCAGTAGCATTATTTTCTTACTTTAAACGATTAGTTGTACTTATTTAATGCTTATAAAATATGTATGTGTACACAAGATCTCATCTTTAGACCTGAACTTAAATTTGTTCGCTTTGTAGTATGTTCAACCTTCTAAATATAGACTTTACAAACAAATTCTTCAGCTTTATTAAGAAGTTTTGGGTAGATATAGATAAATAACGTGTGCATTTATGTTCCACAGAACCTTACATAGTTTCAGACCACGAACCTACTCAAAGGAATGTTACTCAGAGAACCGCGTCTAAGGATCGCGGGTCAAAAGGTAAGGGTAGAATTTTAATAAATTAACTTACATCCTTAGTGTTCACTCTCTGTAGCTAAATGAGGAATTATTTGAAAATTTACAAAAGAGTATTAACGATTTTTTTCTTTTCTACTTCGGAGGAATTAAATTGTGTTATATGTTTTTTTTATAATAATTATGCTGTTGAGAATATATACTTCCCTTCAAATAACTATACTTGATTTGTAATTATAGATTAAATCAAAAAAACGTTACACGAAACGCAATCTTCTAAGATAATATTAATCATTCACGATTTATTAGCATTTTTATGTTACTCGATCAAAATCGCCAGTAGCGCCATCTAATGTAGGATAAAATAACCAACTTGCATAGATGGCGCCAATATTAAAAAAACAATGTGTGACACCATTGGGGTGTTACTGTATTGATTTATGTGTACTATATTTTAGTAATGTAAAAACATTGATATCACCGGAGATAATATACTATCAGATTAGGTTACCCGTAACATACATGTGTAATCAATATTTATGCGTCGTATACCTTAAATCTTTGTGTAGATCGCAGTATTGTGACCTAATTAATAGCTTCAAATGAAAAGTGCACAACTGTAAAATATACGTTATACTTATTTGACTTTTTTTATGGGATAGACTCATGGTAAGCAATCGGCGCCGCCCTTGGACACTCGAAACACCAAAGGAGTTATAAGCTCATTGCCGGCCTTTTGAGCCAAATTGGGTCTCCGGTAACCGCACTCATGCGGTGAAACTTGTATTGTTTCTGTGAGCCCGTGGTATTACTCTGGTCGATTCAGCTCATTAGTGCCAAAACATGGCTCATCCCACATTCTGCTGGATTTTCTTACATTACATGAACTTTTGTAATTGGATGTAGTGTATAGTAAGCAATACTTATCACCCATATACCAATAGTCTTGGAACCTAATATTCTGACCTTGTATAGATTTAAGCCGTGTGTTGACAGCGGAGTAAAATATAATTATCACCAAGAGCAGTGGCTCTTCCCACTATATTTATACGGACGGTCCACATATTTAACAGCAAACGAACAGCAGCTCTCTTTGACAAACTTGATTTTTTGTATTGTGATGACACACATTTATGACAAACCTCTTTTGTAGAGGAGGTCCATATTTTAACAATGTCACCCGTATATCCCCAAGCGGTCACCGGTGACCGCTCTCCACTGACTACATTATAGACTTTACTTCTAATGTTTAGAGACTACTTTTGTATGAACAAATTTAGGGAATGAGATTCAACAATTTTCAAGGGGTGTGGTCAAGGGCTTTTAACTTAATAAGTAGATCAAAAGCAACGTGTTTGTTTATAGTACCTACCTTATTATATACCTTTTCTTTTCTAGGTAACTGCGCAGACAAATTGAACAACTGCATCCTAGCTGTGCAAGCGCGTCTATGCCATTACAAGTATTATACACACAATTGTTGCAAATCTTGCGGTGGTCGGTGAAAATCCAATCAAAACGACACTGTCAAAAGATAAAAGCGCACTATAGTTAGAAACCTAATCATTTAATCTTCAAAGGAATCGTATAGAAGATCTATAATAGATCTATAATACTGTTGTCAAATGAACGAGTCTGGTTGAGTGAAGGACTCGGCGCAAAAGGACGATGTATTGGAGGACCAATTTTGGTACAGAAGGACCAACTTTGGTACCGAAGGACTAACGTAGAGTGAATATATAAACTGAAAGGCATTGGAATAGAGTATTTTAAAAAACGACAGAATTGTTAAGAAATCTGTTTTATCAGACTTATATGTATGCTATAGTGCGCGATTATCTTTTACTTAAGTAAATTTTATGTTATGTATTACGATATGTATGGACACTGTATGTGTCAAGCGATATATCTCGAATGTGTATTTTGCGATATAAACAAGTCGTAGAACTGTTTGCAACATCAAACTTTCTTGGAAAATTGTGAGTAAGTAGATAATGAAACATCATTTGAGTATTTTTAATTACACAACATCTGATATTCCGGATATGTTTCACTTGATCATCATTTCAAATTACAGTCGATTAAATTGATAATAATGAATTTATCGTTATCTTAATTCGGAATGAAGACGATAAGTATATTTTCTTTGTTTAGCATCTTAGACAGGTGTTCCCTAAAACATAAATTATTTAGTTTCAGCTATTAGCTACAGCATAATTTTTGTGAATATGAGAATCTAGTTCACATCATGTATGTAAACGATTGACAAATAATAAAACAATATAGATTATTACAATGTCAGTTATCAGCCAAAAATAGGATCAGACAGCCCTATTGATGCTCTCTGGCTTATTTACCATTATAAATTTAAATTTAATTAAGAATAAATTAAAATTACATTAAAAGTAATATTTATTTACAAGTTCCCAAAATAATTAATTTTAATTTTTAAATTTAAACATTGCAAATACGTAGCATAAGAATTAACACTTTTATTATTTTGCTTATTTGGTGTGATATTTAAATTTAAGTATATTTTTTTTATTAATTAATTTATAGTACAAGTATGTCATGACTCAACTTAGTACTTAGGTTATACCGACGCTTCTAAGTTAATATCTTTTATGTATTGTAGCTTATTCCCTTCAGCATAAGTTATGTAATTACTTATAAGTACCTATGTATGTGTAAATAGATAGTTCTTTAATAAAACAAGTGATGATTAGATGAAATTTCTAATTTATTTGTGTTTTACTGAAGTATTGTCCTGCACGACTCAACACGTCTACATGTTGGACCACAACTATAATATCTATGTTTTAAACCCTCTAGGTTTCAGTCAGTTCAATGGTCGTTGGAAGCAACTAATTATTGGACCTTCATATTATTCTTCTGCGAAACAATAGAGTTGCATACAAAAATTTCGTTTACAAAGCCTGCACGGTTGGCGCGTTGGCTGGGTAACTGACTGCCACGCTACGTGTTCTGGTTCGATTCCCGCACGGAACAAGTCTTTGTGTGATCCACAGATTGTTGTTCCGGGTCTGGGTGTAATCTGTATGTGAAGTTGTATGTCTGTATACGCACACACGACACAGGAGAAAATCGAAATGTGAGGTAAAATTTTATAAAAAAAAATTAAAAATATGCTGCTCAGGGTGAAAGAAGCCGTTCGATGATTCTCCATTCTCACAAAAATTCCTAATATACGACGTAAACATAAACCTTAAGGCAGACCTTCTATCAACTCAAGACTAGCGTGATGGCCGTGATGTCATCATGATACATCACGAATCACGTCACAATATCATTACGGCGCAGTTTTCTGGCAGACCGCCAACGAGATAAGGGAACAATTTTAATACGTAATAAATGTATCAATTACAACGGTTCGGGTTGACCTGAGGGACCTATTGTGCAGATATGATCCAATTGACAGTGACCGCATTGGCAAAATGCACTACTATGTACAGGTTGTTTGGTTAAATGCATCACGAATTTTTATTTATCCCTAGCTACTCCCACGCCGCCGGATGGGCGTCAAGAACACCGCCCCAGGACCCGACGGCTTGCATGGCAAAGCATGGGTCCTGGCCTCAGAGGCTCTCGGGCCTCGATTAATCGGTCTCTACAGCGCATGCTTGGAGAGAGGCCAGTTCCCGCTTCTCTGGAAAGCGGGCAAACTGGTCCTCGTGCGGAAGACGGGGCGCCCTGCGGACTCTCCGTCCGCATACCGGCCCATAGTGCTGCTCGACGAGGTGGGGAAAGTCTTCGAAAGAATCATTTCGAACCGCCTCGTCGCGCACCTGACGGACATTGGGCCGGACCTGTCGGACGGCCAGTTCGGCTTCCGCAGAGGGCGCTCCACGGTGGACGCCATCATGCGCGTTAGAGACCTCACGACGGGGACTGCAGTGTCCAGGGGTAAGGTCGTAGTGGCGGTGTCTCTGGACATCGCCAACGCCTTCAACTCCCTGCCCTGGAGCTGCATCTTGGAGGCACTCCGATATCATCGGGTGCCTACCTACCTCCGTCGTGTAATCGAGGCTTACCTGACGGACAGGTCCGTCAGCTACCCCGGTCACCGGGGCGAGTGGAACCGGCGAGAGATGTCACGCGGTGTTCCACAGGGTTCGGTTCTGGGGCCGCTCCTGTGGAACATCGGCTATGACTGGGTGCTGCGCACCGACCTCCCGAACGGCGTTAGCACAATATGCTACGCCGACGATACGCTGGTGCTAGCGCACGGGAGGTCACACCAGGCGGCGGCCGACTTAATGGCGACAGCGGTTGCGACAGTCGTTGAGAGAATCCGGCAGTTGGGACTCGAGGTGGCGCTCCACAAGTCCGAGGCCATGTGTTTTCATGGCCGCGGGAACGCGCCACCTCCGGGTGGGTCCCAAATAACGGCGGGAGGAGTTACCATCGGCGTCGAGACGACGATGAAGTACCTAGGACTCGTCCTCGACAGTCGGTGGAACTTCATTGAACACTTCCGACGTTTGGCTCCAAAGTTGGAGAGGACGGGGGCTGCGTTTAAACGCATCCTCCCCAACCTCGGGGGGCCAAACGCCTCCTGCCGGAGGTTATACGCCGGGGTCGTGCGGTCCATGGCCCTCTACGGCGCCCCTGTTTGGGCGCCTAACCTGTTGCGGCGTCCCGCTCGGACGCTGCTCATGGCACAGAGGGTCATGGCGATCCGAATGATCCGCGGATACCGCACGATCTCTGGGGAGTCGGCGAACCTCCTTGCCGGATTACCGCCGTGGGATCTGGAGGCGAAGGTGCTCGCGCGCGTGCACAGCATGCGCGCGGAGGCACGTCGCCGGGGCGAAACTCCGCTGCCGCGCCAGATAAGTGCGTGGCGGGATGAGCTCCGGCGCGATCTCATGGCGGAATGGCAGCAACGACTGTCGCAACCGAGGGCTGGGCTCGCTGCCATCGCAGCGGTAAGTCCCCTCTTTGAGGAGTGGCTTGAGAGACGCTACGGCGTCCTCACCTACCGCCTGACGCAGGTCCTCACCGGACATGGAAGTTTCGGGAGGTACCTGTGTCTGATGGGGCGGGAGGAAACGCCCGGGTGTCATCACTGCGAGGACCGCCCTGAGGACACGGTGGAACACACGGTGGGAGAATGCCCTTCGTGGGCTGAGCACCGCCGTGTCCTCAGGGAAGTGATCGGCGATGGCGACCTCTCGCGTCCGGGCCTAGTGCAGGCCATGATGCGGAGCGAGGGGGATTGGGATGCCGTCTCCTCCTTTTGCGAAGCAGTCATGCTAGCTAAGGAGGAGGCGGGACGCGTGAGGCAGCGAAGCGCTGCCTCCTCGCAACCCAGCCATCGCGAAGGACACACCGGGCGTCGGGGATCGCGGGACGATCTCCGGCCACCGTAAGCGCGGGCCTGCGGACGGCGAGCATGGGTGGCTCCCCGTCCGACCAGAAACAGACCCGAGCGTACGGCGCGTCGCGTTCCGCGCGCGCCTCAAAGAGCCATCAGACCACCACAGATGGGGCCCAATAGGGCCGATGCCGATTCGGAGTCGCGGAGAACCTAACGGGTAACCGGGGCTCCGGCTCGACGTGCAGGAGAAGGAACGGGGTGGTTTTTAGTCAGTAAGAGTCTGACACTCCCTCCCGCCTCACCCAGGCGGGGGCAGTCATTCGATGATTTTCCCCCCTTAAAAAAAAAAAAAAAAAAAAAAAAAAGCTACTCCCACGCACATCATGCAGGAGAAGGAACGGGGTGGTTTTTAGTCAGTAGGAGTCTGACACTCCCTTCCGCCTCACCCAGGCGGGAGAAGCTATACGATAATTTTCTCTCCTTAAAAAAAGTACTCCCACGTGGTTCCACCTGCTACTAATCTCCTTTTGATTTTATTTGCTTATGTCACTCCCTATATACCGGGCAAGAGGTCTCGGGTTCTATACCCGGGTCGGGCAAAGTATTACTGGATTTTTAAAACAAATCTCAGTAGTAGCACGGAGTCTGGTATTGTGTCTGGTATATGGCAATAGGCTCACCCCCTATTACATGGAACTCATAACATAAACATTGAAAAGTGGGTGTTATACTGTACAGTGGCATTAAATGCCGCAGTGAGCACCTCTGCCTACTTACTTGGTCAATTCCCTGCTCCACTCGGCCTTAAAAGTCGGCAAACAAACAGACATATACGGTGTCGCATATGTTATAATATTAGTATAAATTATTATCATCAATGTTAGTATTTTGGTGGTCTGATATTGCCGATAATGATTCATCGCCGTTTCCGGCCACTGCTGAATAAAGGGTTAAGTACACACAAGTTTCATTCAAAATACGTAAAAAGCGTCAAGTATACTGGTAAAAACTGAATAAAGGAAAAGAAAAAATAACAGTACCCATTTATTCAAGTCTAGATATTAAGATATACTCACTAGAGAATTTGCTAATATCGAACCACGGGACATGATATTTTGATAACTATGTACAGTAATTGGTCGAACAGGCCTTTTTTTTTTTATTTTAAATCATCAAATCATCAAATGGCTTCTCTTGCCGTTAGTGTTAGACTTTTACTGACTAGAACCGGGACCTTACAGTGATATATTATTAGTAGGTACCACCTGACTATAAAAACGTTCACTTTTGTTATAAGTACTTTTATGAAACACCATGTACAATCTTCTACGTCTACTACAACATAATATGGTACAGATATCTCAATTAAACAGATCTAATTATTTCGTTTGAAGTGAACAAGATAAAGGGAGATGAATTGCAACCAATTTATTATGTAGGTACAACATGTATTGGTCTTGTTTTCGGTTGCTTTATGATCAAATTAATTGCTAAACTTTAAATATCTTTATCTATGTGTCACGAGTTATCGGCGTATCGTTTGAACAACTAAGTTTCTGTAGCAATAATTAATTGCAATTGTATTAGAATTATTGTTAATAAAATGACTGTACAAATAACAGCCCACCCTGGTTTTGCACGTCATTGCCCTTTTCCGGCTAGTTTGTCGAATTTTTCCTCATGAAATCTTATCGATTTTGGTGCAGTCGTTTAGTAGATATGCGTGAATTTCTTATCTTTACGAGGACATTCATTGAGGAAAAGTGATCTACTTTATTTACAACTAGTATACTGTATAGCCATACAGTATACTAGTTATCCTATGTTTTATTTTATTTTCGATTGGTCCAAGTGCGACCTTTGTGTCCACGCGCGCCTCCGAGACTTTGCACAGAGAAGACCAACACCTCACTCCTCTGTGCATCTTGAGGTGGGGCCTGGCAATGCAGGCCGCCACGACTTCGGGGGCTGCGGAAGAATGTGACTCCCGCACCCTCGTACCCACGTGTGAGACGGGATACCGGGGTGGGTTTTTGTCCGTAAGAGTCTGACAGTCCCTTTCGTCTTTCCCAGGCGAGGGGGCTCCAAGAGGATTTCACACTTTGGGGTTAAAAAGAAAAGTGCGACCTGACGACTGCTGATTACGATGTCCCGTATTTAGCTCTTGGGTAGGGAAAATAATGTAATTATTATATAGAAGTATATAATTTATCGAAGATAAATTACCCTTATAGGTTTTTATTATCTGTTTTGGCGGGCGTCACGTGATAGTGTAGTCTATTTAAGAAATAGACAGAACAACATTATCATGATGTGTTTTTAAAAACGACCTACATTTTTCAGTTGATTCTACTCATTGTGATCCAGGTTTTGCGCATTTAGCTTTACGCTTTGTATTTGCATTTTTGCCTAGATACTTCGATAGATAACCATTCGATAAATTAAAAAATAACCATCCAGTTTTTTTAGGAAAAAAAAAATATGTTATTGAAGTCGCTAAAGATTAATACAGATAAAAAACTCCTGTATAGTTTGTAATGATAAGGCAAGTTTTTTTTAATAAATATATCTTATTACTAGCTGACCCGGCGAACTTCGTACCGCCTAATTATTTTTTCTCACCTTTTAAACCTTCTCTGGACTTTTTCATCATTTCATTTCTTCTGGACTCCACGAACATTTCAAGACCACAATTAGGCGAATCGGTTCAGCCGTTCTCGAGTTTTAGCGAGACTAACGAAAAGAAATTCATTTTTATTTATATAATATATCTTATTATTATAACATAATTCAATATCTAAATACCTGAAAGAGATATTTCCTTATACGCAGGTATGAATAAGGAAAATAAAGAAAAAAAAATATTATCTTACGAGATATTTTTATTTCTAAAAATGTGCACGATATTAGATAAACTTATAAGAATCGTATGTACGTATGTACCTAGATAATTTAATTAATCTGTATTCGATTTCTCTATCCTACTGACTTATCTCTTAAGAGAACAGTAATGGAAACAAGAAAACTACAGAAGACATAATTTCATATTATAATAAAAAATATAGGTACAAATACATGTCTGGATATTCAAGCACAATAATTTGCCTCTTACAAAATAAATCTATGACTAATTAAAACTAGTGTTGGTTTATTTTCACAGAAAAAAAATAAATTTTAATTTTTTCGTCAATTCCGATATGGGGCGGGGCTTGCGGTGAAACATTAGAAAGCAGTTATTTATCGATTTAACATCTACCAAGTATTTTAACACCCCATGTCTACACATATTATTTGTAAAAAAAAACTTATCAATTATTAAGGCCTAATACTACCAGTCATAAGCACTCGGGCGCCAGACATTAACAACAATGCAATAATTGTAAATACAGAAAATGCTATGGCCCAAGATGGTGTACTGACGGAACTTGAATTAACATCGCCATACTTTATGCAAATTGTTATGTAAGCCATGGATATTGTGACAATTGATACAACTACATGTATAGTCTTCAATAAATTATTTAATCTGTCCGCCAATAGTAAGTTTGCGATAGCACCTACTTTTTTTTCGGAAACAAATATCATGACGATCAACCCTGAAACAAAAATAAAATAATTTTTTTTAAATGAATCGCTAAAGTATTTGACTGCACGGTTGGTGCGGTGGCTGGGCAACCGGCTGCCGTGCAACGTATCGCGGGTTCGATTCCCGCACGGGACAACACTTTGTGTGATCCACAAATGGTTGTTTCGGGTCTGGGTGTCATTGTGTATGTGAACTTGTATGTTTGTAAACGCACCCACGACACAGGAGAAAATCCTAGTGTGGGGCAACGTTTTTTTTTTAAAAATAAAAACAATAACTTCTGAACCCGCTATTAATATAGGAATATAACAAAATATATTTTGGTGACTTCACAGATATATATATTATAAATAGCTGTGTGTGGTCACTCAAAAAACTTATGTTGAAAATATGTGATAGTAATATGCTTTGCTATGATTATATATTAGCTTATATGTATTTCTGATGACCTATTAATTACATCCTTACTCTAAAGCTAGCGTAACTTCAATCAAGATTTAGCACCTGTTTAGGTACCCGATGAATTGTTGTGACAGATAGTTCATATAAATTATCTTCTATATTGTAAATCGTGTAAATGTGGGCTATTCAGACACTTTTAAGATGAATACAAATATATTTATTAAAAGTCACTTACCTATGATTCCGTGAGAAGTTTGTAAGTGTTTCCCGCCGACCTGTATTGGACCCACAGTAATAGTATAACTACTAACCGCAGCTAACCCCAAACAAACTCCGACGAATACCACGATACAGCCAATTATTTGAATTATCCAATACATTTTCGTCTTCTTGGGGAACTTAAAATTCTCATTGAACCCCTTGTAAGGGTTGACGGACAATATCGCTTGACTGCAAAGGATTGTAAGCTGTAAGTATTAAAAAATTTTTATATTAAACCTTCAGTAAATTTTAATATCATATTTATATACAAGTGTGTTTAATGATGTTCAATTTATGTCTTTTAAACAAATATTTGGGTTAACCGTTCCAATACAAAGACTATTTAGAATTATATAGAATAGAGTCAGGCGTTACTCTGTGGAAATCCATGATACCACTGAAGGAATGAATTTGCAGCATGCCACAGAACTTATAAAGAAGATATTTTCTGTGCAGTATTCAACATCGCATTCTGTCAGTGGAATAAAACATAAATATTGTCCCAGTTTTTAGTGCAACAAAGTATATTACTTACCCCAATGACTATCATAATAGAATGGGCAGTCAACTTTGAGGGTAAACCATCTCCAAGCACAATTCCAAAGAAGGCGGCTCCACCCATTAACACATGTGCGACGGTATTCACCACATTCATGCATCCCACGTACAACGAAGGCGAAGGTTTTTCCATTTTGTTAACAAATTAATCAGCACCAACTTGCACGTTATACCCCACACTGTTCAGTAACGAACACTGGCATCGCAATAAATATTCGATAAGTAGATCCGTTATCGCTCCGATATCTAACGCATAAGATTAGTTTATTTGGAAGCAAATATGAAAAATGTATTTATCGTTTCAATATTGTCCTCAATTCATCGGCTATTTGAATTTCTAGAATTTTATACTGTTCTAAGATACAAATGAATCGGATGATTCATCGGATTTTAAAGGCTCATTGACGCGTCACGCGCACACGCGCGCTTTCATTGCGAGACGAATTAGAATCGAAATATCCTGCGTAGAATAAAACGAATCTGTGTCCACGACACGTCATTTGACGAATGCATGCATCCTGTAAATGAGTGACGCTACGTTACTGCTACGTGGGACAGTAAATCTAAGAGCCGACAGTCACGGTCTACTTGAAGCGGTCAGGATCGACAGCTCTGCTCTCAGCGACAGTCTGGAAATGTGCCCGGTATATGGCAATAGGCTCACCCCCTATTACATGGGACTCGTAACATAAATAGTGAAAAGTGGGTGTTACATTGTACAGTGGCATTAAGTGCCGTAATGTGCACCTCTGCCTACCCCTTCGGGGATAAAAAGGCGTGATGTTATGTTATGTTATGAAAGGCATAAATGAACCGTTTGATCACCTTTACAGGAACACTATACACGAACTGCTAAAGAGGTTGCAACTGCTTTGGGTGGTTGACATTTTATCATGCCGGTCAAGCAGTCGCCAGGCATACACTGACAGCTTGAGCTGGTCTCGGGCCCCCACCCCGCCAATACTCTTCATTGCTCGTTATTTTTAATTAACATTGAAGTAGCTGACTGGTCGAGCAATTATCAATGGGTATGCTTTTTTATTTTGTATTTACTTATTTTAGAAGTGCGAATAACATGGCGTCGCGTCGATGGATGTTGATTTTAACTGCAAGAGCGGTCCATCTATGTGAATCACTTGATAACTGCTCGAACAGTCCATGTAAGATGGGTTTAAGGGAATCATAGAAAAGTAAAACATAAATAATAAGTAGGTTAAAGAAATTAGCGTTTACTATTACGAAGATAATATAGCAACTCGAAATTTCACATCTTGAATGAGTTTTAATTAAAAGCCAAGAAGAGATACGATTCGGTAAATTAATAATATCATAAAAAAAATGCAGTTTCTACCCGTACTCTGAGCATGCTTGGGCTGTTGACTATTCAACGGGACAAATCACCGCAGTGGCCTCAAGGTTTACTCCTTCAGCCAAGGCAGTAAAACCTCTTACAAAACTTAGTGCCCGCGTCGCTGAGGGCATCCCAAGTGGGTTCGAACCATAATTGAGGCAGGGCAGCAGAAGACAGGTAGAATCGGAGTATTTAAAGGGGCAACATGTAGGCTACAGCGGAAGTGGCAGTGGGCAGGTCATATTTGTCGAAGATCCGAAGATAGATGGGATAAATGTGTTCCAGAGTGGAGACCGCGTCTAGGCAAACTTAGTGTAGGGCGGCCTCCAGCTAGGTGGAGTGACGACATCCGCAGTCAGTGGTTGGATGAGAAGACCTTAAGACCGAGCTCAGTAGCGTGCCATTGGAGTGGCCTATCTCCAGCAGTGGACGAATACAGGCTGATGATGATGATGAAGGCTATTGACTCCACTTTATTGCCACAAAGCGAAGGCCGTACACGGAACGCAATCTGAGGGCTTAGTACGAATTTGTTTTATCTCCTCCAAGATCGAAACGTTACAGCATTCGGCGCTCCTGATTGGCTTGCTCCAATAAACCAACCAATCCGTGGGCTAAACGCAATAATGTTTCGATTTCGTTCGTGCTTACCAATTCTTTCCTATTAACTAAACTTTTAATAGAACAGTAATGGAAAACAAAAAAAACTACAGAAGAGATAATATATAATTTTATAATTATATTTATAAAATATGTACAATGTTTGCCTATATAATCAGCACTTTACATCTCTTAAAAATAAATTTATGACTAATTATAACAAGTGTTTGGTTTATTTTCATAGAAAAATACAAGTTTCGTTTTTCTGTGTTAGTGCGTTGCCCGCTGCCGATCGCGTAGTTACACGCGAATGAAAAACACGGGAGGTTAGTTAACTAAAAATCGCGGGTTACTCACGTGAATATACTGAGAAAAACTACTTGTAGGTGTAGGCTGCGCAACATCGCCGCAACCGCGCACGCTGCTCATAAGGAAGAACCCCTTTGTAGTTCGAAACTAGTAGAGCTTCTCTGTATATTCACGTGAGTAAACCGTGATTCTTAGTTAATTTTGTATGTCTCACGATAGTTATCAAAAAACCGAGAGGCTAATACAATACAATACATTTTTTTTTTATTATACACAATAATAACACAAAGAGCAATCATTCAGAAATCAATAGTTTAATGAGTGGACTTAACAATAAAAAGTAATCTCTTGCAGACAACCGTTCGATGGATAAGCAGTATGGGAGAATATGGAGAGTCCATCAGCCTCGTCCCAAGATGCCTTTTCATTTTCAATTCCGTATACGCATATTTATCCATGTCTAATTCACAACAATATCTATTTGACATTAATTGTGAAAAATCTTATTATTTATTATAGCTTAATACTACCAGTCATAAAAACTCGGGCGCCAGTCATTAACAACAATGAAAATATTGTAATTGCAGAAAAAGCTATGGCCCAAGATGGTGAACTGAAGTAACTTGAATTCAAATCGCCATACTTTATGCAAATTGTTATGTAAGCCATGGATATTGTGATAATTGATACAATTACATGTATAGTCTTCATTAAAGTATTTAATCTGTCCGCTAATAGTAAGTTCGCGATAGCACCTACTAGTTTTACAGCAACAAATATCATGACTATGAAACCTGAAACAAAACAAAAATAAATAAATAAAAATGAATTACTAAAGAGTTTTTATATTGTAGACATTGTAGAACATATTTTTTTAAAAAGAGTAACGAATGGAGTTTCTTGCTCGTTCTTCTCCATTCGAATCTACATTTCGGAATGAGCATCTAGCTTCACCTAGCTTTACTGACGGACTGACTGACAGACTAATATTTATTTTGTATTTGTTGACGTTTCAAAAGTACCAAATTATGGTTTAGTTGAAATAAATGCTTTGACTATGAAAAAATTACTTTTAAACAGATGAACAATTTTTTTAAATAACGTTGCATGGCAGCCAGTTGCTCAGCCACCACACCAACTGTGCAATCAAATAAAATATTCCGTCTTCTTATTCATTCTTTGCCAGGACAAGATTTAAATGAAATAATTTACCGTCAAATGTAAGTAAGGTACTAAAATTGATAATTTTAGCTGATTACTTACTCAATATTGTGGAGAAGCATTTGATATTCATTTTAAATTTAAATGTTGACACAGATTATCGTAAGAAGTTATTATTTTCACATAATTCAAGTGTGTACATTTAGGGATTGTTAAACTCTCTCATATACAGTCTCCATAAATTGATGTGACAAATAGTTCATACAAATCACGTTCTATATTTAAAATCTGGTAGATGTTGGCTATCCAGACATTATGAAACATGCCCTTAATTTAAATAATATAAAACTCATTTACCTGTGATTGCATGAGCAGTTGTAAAGTGTTTCCCGCCGGCCTGTATTGGACCCACAGAAACAGTATTACTACCAACCGCAGCTAACCCCAAACAAGCTCCGACGAATACCACGATACAGCCAATTATTTGAATTATCCAATACATTTTCGTCTTCTTCGGGAACTTGAATTCTTCATTGAACCCCTTGTAAGGGTTGACTGACAATATCGCTTGACTGCAAAGGATTGTAAACTGTAAGTATTAAACAATTATGATATAAATACCGCAGTAAATTTCACTAACTTTTTTATATACAAGTGTAGGTTCAGTCGTTTTTAATAATGTTCAATTTATGTCTTTTAAGCAAAAGCTTAGCTGAACCATTCAATTACAAAATACAAAGAATTTTACTTACCCCAATGACTATCATAATGCAATGGGCAGACAACTTTGAGGATAGACCATCTCCAATCACAATTCCAAAGAAGGCGGCGCCACCCATCAACACATGTGCGACGGTGTTCATTACATTCATACACCCTACGTACAACGAAGTTCCCATTTTGTCAACAAATTAATCAGCACCAACTTGCGCGTTATACACCACACTGTTCAGTGATGAATACTGACATCGCAATAAATATTCGACGGGTCGGTCTGTTATCTTCGACCATTCTGATATCTAATTCATAAAAAGATTAGGTATTTTGTTTGGAAGCAAGTATGAAATATCTAGTTTTGTTACAATTTTATCCTCTATTAGGAATGTTTAGACTGCCTCGTTGGCCGAATGGTCGCAAGTGCAACTGCGGGGCAAAAGATCTCGGGCTCGATACCCCAATGGGGCAAAGTATTACTGGGTTTTGATAAATTCTTAGTAGTAGCACGGAGTCTGAAGTTATGCCCGGTATATGGCAATATACCCCCCCCCCCTATTATGGGACTCATAATATAAATAGTGAAAAGTGGGTGTTACATTGTACAGTCGCATAATGTACACCTCTGCCTACCCCTTCGGGGATAAAAGGCGTGATGATATGTTATGTTATTAGGAATGTTTAGGCCACTATTTACGGTTTTAAAAGTCCACATCTTGAATGGGTTCTGATTAAAGTCCACACAGAGATTCCATTCAGGTAATTGAAACAGATGCTTAGAAGACGTGACGTTTTTTTGACGTGACCGCTTGTACTTTGGACACGCTTGGGCTGTTGACTATTCAACTGGACAAATTACTGGAGTAGCCCCTTGTTTAGTCCCTCAGCCAGGGTAGTAAAATATCTTATTAACTAAACCACTGCTTCGCTGCGGGCAACCCAAGTGGGGATCGAACTGAATCATCATTGAGGCAGGCTAGCAGAAGACAGGCTGAACATTTAAAGTGAGGTATTTAAAGGATCTAAATATAAGGTTACTGAATCTTCTGTGGCAAGCTGCTACCGCCTGTTCTAATGAACCAGTCAATCAGAGGGCTAAACGCGATAACGTTTCGATTTCCTTCTTGTTTAATCTTTACTATTATCTAAACTGTTAATAGAACACTGATGGAAACAATAACACTCTAGAAGACATCATTTTATTAATTTTTAAAAAATATAAAACATATGTCTGTGTATTCAAGGACATTTTAAGCCTTATAAATAAATTTATGACTAATTAAAACTAGTTTTAGTAGTCTTATATTATATTGACTGCCTTGTTAGCACGGAGTTTGGAATTCTGCCCGGTATATGGCAATAAGCTCACCCCCCTATTACATGGGACCCGTAACATTAATAGTGAAAAGTGGGTGTTACATTGTACAGTGGCATTAAGTGCCGTAATATGCACCTCTGCCTACCCCTTTGGGGATAAAAAAGCGTGATATTATGTTATGTTAAAACTAATGTTTGGTTTATTTTAGCAAACAAAAAATACAATTCTTATTTTTTGCACCACCTTATGGATGGCTAAATCCCACGAGAATTACCAACACGGGGGGTTAATACAATACAATTAAAAAACCCTTTATTGTCACCATAAAAGCACAAAGGACAATCATTCACAAATAGATATTTAAGTGTTTTATCACTAATCACTAAAAGCGATCTCTTACAGACAACCGCTCGATGAATAAGCAGTAAGGCAGAACACGGAGAGACTCATAGGTCTCGTCTCAAAATTTACGTGCCCATACCTCAAAACTTATTCATTATTAATGCTACCAGTCATAAACACTCGGGCGCCAGTCATTAACCACAACGATAGCATGGTAAATACAGTAAATGCTATAGCCCAAGATGGCGCACTCCAATAACGATCATTAACATCGCCATACTTTACGCAAATTGCTAAGTAAGCCATTGATATTGTTACAATCGATACAATAACGTATATAGTCTTCATCAAATTATTAAATCTTTCCGATAACAGTAAGTTCCCGATAGCACCTAATAATTTCACCGACACCAATAACATGACCATCAAACCTGAAACAAAAGTAAAATGAATCAGTTAAGTATTTTACATTGATGGTTTGGACATGTAGAAAGAATGGATGAAAGAAGAGTAACGAAAGAATATATACAAAGCGGATATGAATGGGGCCGTCGGTAAAGAGCGCCCTAGACAGACATATACTGATCAGATTGGCGCTATATTACATAAGGGTCACATTAATAGTACCCTTAACCGACGAGTATGCATGAAAAGGTTGATGACTGTTGATGAAGCGAAGGGGGTATGTAGGAATCGTAGTAATTGGCGTTTCATAGTCTCTGCCTATGTATGTATGTATGTAATTTCTAAATGGTTAAACTAAAGATTAATATTCCGTCTTCATTATTTGGCTTCTTCCGTCTTCATTATCTTAACAAATAAGATATATTTGTATGAAATTGTGGTAACACAATTAATACCGACAAAAATAATTGATTGTCGAATGCTTCAGTGTGAGTAATAAATTTGATTATTTTAGCTGATAACTTACTTTATCAAAACAATTTTGATAACGTAAAGAAAAGCTTTTTGTATCCATTTATAATTTAAATTCACACAAAATTTTCATAGAGAGATATCTTTTTTATACATAAAATATTCGAAGACTTAAGATTACAAACAATTGAAACAAAAATGGTTATAGAAACAAGAATAAGTAACAGAAGAGGTTAATTTAACAAAAAACCTAGTATCTATGAATTACATTATCTACTGAAGTTTTAATTTAATGTATTTTCAATGTAGATGTAGGGTCTGTTATAGAACCCTCAAATATATAAATTAACTCGTCGAGTACCGGTTTTGTAGACACAATTATAGAACAATAGGTTGCGGTCACCGGTGACCGCTTGGTGTTTGACAGTTTAAAATTGATGTAGCAGATATGATATGAAATATGGTAAATTTAGGCTATGCAGACATTGTTTCGCCATCGAAATCGTATCCATATACAATTATAAATTATAAAAACTCACCGATGATTCCATGAGAGGTAGAAAAGTGTTTCACGCTAGCCTGTATTGAACCCACAGAGATAGTAAGGCTATTAATCCCAGCTATCCCCAAACAAGCTCCGACGAATACCACGATACAGCCAACTATTTGAACGATCCAGAACGTTTTCGACTTCTTCGGGAACTTGAAATTTTCATTAAACGCCTTATAAGGGTTAACTGACATTATTGCTTGACTGCAAAGGATTGTTAGCTGTAAATATTAAATATTTTATTATATTAAAACCACAGTAATTTCACTATTTTATTTATAAGGTTCAGTTGTTTTTAGTGATGTTTAATGTATGTTTATAAACAAATATTTGGCTCAAAAATTCAAGTAAAAAATACAAAGAATATAACTTACCCCAATTACTGCAAAATACGAATGGGCTGTGAACTTTGAGGGTAATACATCTCCAATCACAATTCCAAAGAAGGCGACTCCACCCATCAACACATGTGCGACGGTATTCATCACATTCATGCACACTACGTACAACGAAGGCGGAGGTTTTCCCATTTTGTCAATATATTAATCACCACCAACTTGTACGTTATACCCGACACTGTCCAGTGACGAACACTAACATCGTAATAAATATTCGATTAGGAAGTCTGTTATCTTTGATGGCTCCGATATGTAACTTACAAAAGATTAATTTATTTTGAAGCAAACATCAATAATGTATGCATTTTTGGGAATTCATATTTTATCCTCAATATCCTCAATTCTATAAATTCTCCTTCACGCCATATTAGGTGGGAGTCATAACATAAATTGTGAAAAAGTGGGTGTTACATTCTACAGTGGCATTAAGCGTCGTAATGTGCAACCTCTGTGTACTCCTTCGGAGATAAAAGGCATTATATTACCTTATCCTCAATAAGGATATTCTAAAGCAGTGGAAAGAATATTCTGAGAGTTTATTTGAAAGGGATGACCTGAGAACTGAGTAAGTAAACGATGGCAATCCATGTGCTTGTGTGGGAGAAATAAATATGGATAAAATTATAAGTGCCATTAAGATTTTGAAAGATGGTGAAGCAGCGGGATATTACTGGATAACTGCTGATATAGTAACAAGGCCATTGCAAAGCTGCTGTGTCTACTTTTTAATAAGTGTTGGCGGTCCAGTCCCTGGCTACTGAACCAAGGCCGTAATTGTGCAAATATTATCGCGGTATATACCGCTTGAAAGGTGTATGCCTAGATATTGATTGAAAGAGTGATGTATGTGACTAAAATTATGACTGGCTGTATGGATCAAGTCTTTGCATTAAGGTGCATTTCAGATAAAGCCTTATCGGCACACCAAAAGGTAATTTGTGCCTTTATTGACTTAGAAAAGGCTTACGATGGAGTGGTGAGGGATGAATTTGTGGTCGACATTTGGCCAGTATCTCTCTGCTGTCCTCCCTAACCTGATGGTAAGCGATGATGCGGCCTACGATGGAGCACGTTTGTCGATAAGCAACCTATTCCCTCGGTGATAACAGATTGTCAGGTAATGATAGGTGTTGACAAATTGGAACAAGTAAATGAGTTTGTATATCTGGGATCTCTGTTTACGAGTGATGGAAAGTGTGAGTGATTTAAAGGAGAATGGAAGCTTACACGCTGTGGTGTTGAGTAAAATTATGTCCAGCAAAGCTCGACTTGCTGTAACCGTAAATATTGACACCTATGCTTATGTATGGTACTGAATTATGGTTGTGGCAGAAGAAGCATGTAAGGATGATTAATGCGGTAGAAATGAGAGCTCTGAGAAGTATGTGTAGAGTAAAATTGAGTGATTGAATGAAAAATTGTATTATTAGACAAAGGTGTGGATTGAAAGACAATGTTTGGACATGTAGAAAGGATGAATGAAAAGAGATTTACGACAGGTAAACAGAGTGTTGTAAAACAACAACGAGTTAAAAACAACGAGTTTATTTGGGAAAACAGTTATGATATAGGTATGACGTTATATAATTACGTTGAACACGAAATTCACTAGCTCATTAAGTGAAACACACTAGCTAACATTTAACTAGACTTTTTTGATGGGAAAAATCACTCAATGACTGCAACCGCCCCGGGTGATGGGAGAGGTAGTGATAGACTCTTATTGACTTAAAACCATCGTGTTCCTTCTCTTGCGTCGAGTCGAACCCCGGTAACTCGTTAAGTAGTTTATTTATTGTTTACTTTAGGTACATCTATTATTGCAAGTCTAACATAATATGATAGAGAATCTACTAGAGAAGCTAAAAGAAACTACAATATTCAATGACCTATCTTAATAGCATATTACCAAATATATGCTCTAGCCTTGTGATGTCTTTTACAGTACAATGGAACAAATCTATCTAAATGTAATGGCCTTAGTACGAGTTTGTTTTACGTTTAAAGTAATCGCTACGAGACGGTGTTCGGCGTTGTGATTGGGTGGTTCATTGAAGCCGACCAATCAGAGCGCCCAACGCGTACTCGTTTAAACTTAAAACAAATTCGTACTATGGCTTCGTTCAGCTAATGCATTAAGTGGGCATATCGCGCGTGTCATTGGTGCTCGCTTTACAAGCTCGGTGCTATCTATTGGTACCACTAACAACTGCGGCCGTCTCGCAGCTTCGTCGCAGCCTCGGAACATAAGTAGACTTTTTTTGAGGGGGCGAAATCATCCAATGTCTTCTCCCGCCCGGGTGAGGTGAGAGGGAGTGTCAGACTCTTACTGACTAAAAATCACCCCGTTGCTACACCTACACTTTGAACCGGAGCCCCAACAACCCGTTAAGTCTTCCGTGGCTCCGTAACATAAGTAGACTGGGATGTCGCTACAACATAAGTACGGAACAATTATGTCAAGTCTCATCGCTGAAGTGGTACACTAGTCACTACTACTTCTTCTTCTAAAAACTAACGATACCACAAATTGTTCTTGAGGGGATAATGAAAAATCAAGAATGAAATGAAGAAAATGTATGAGGAAAATGAAGAAAGTGCTTATCTTATGAGATATATTTAATATTTACAATTATCATGATAAAACATGTTAATAGATAAACATTAATACGTACGTAAGTATTTATTAAAGTACCTGTTCAATCTTTGTACTGTTTCTTGTCGGCCAAAATATGTTTATATATAGTCCATTACATTGATTAATGTGTTTCACATTAAAAAGAAATATATAGATAAGGGGATTCCCATTTGCTACACAAACACCAATACAGATCTGTTGTTATACATAATTGGTCAGGAACCTCTAAAGCTGACAAAAAGTCTAATCAAGATTATGGTAAGAGCTTCAATGCTGTTGTCATTTAGCCAAATATCTTCTAGACTCACTTATTGTTGGTCTTAAAATCCAGCTGAGAAAATACCAACAGATAGAAGAAAAAAGTTTATTAATCAATACTGAACACACTGATACAGTATACAAGTTGGTAGACCGATACTTTAAGGCTTTGACTGCCGACAGTAAACTGTTGAAGGTAAATCCTCCGCTAGCGTGGCCCATAAGTTGTCCCCATGGCGTTCAAGGTGTTAATTAAAAGTTTTATAACTACTGCTAGCAGTCTTAATTACTCGCGTTCCCATCATGACCAATAATGCTAAAATTGATAGGGAAAAAAAAAAAAAACCCATTGGTATCACACTACTATCGTAACCAAGAGGAGTAGTGGAAAAAAAAAAATGCATACAGATTACTATGTAGGCCATTATTAAAGTGACAGTTCCTACAACCACATACAAAGTGTTCATATAGCCATTTATTGGTTGCTCCTTTAGCAAATTCGCAGAAGCGCCTACTAAATTCACAGCAGTAAGCAGCATGATCACCAAACCTGAAATAAAAATAAACATAATTAAATAATAAAATAAAAATGAATCGGCTAAAATAATAAAAAAAAAAAAAAAATAAAAATAAAAATCGTTTATTAAACACAAAAACTTCCAAAAGATGTAACAGTAGTCTAATTATTATACAATTATGGTAAATTAAAAAATCTTAAAAAAATATATAAAAAACAACTTACATTGAAATAATCAAAGATAAATTTAGGATGAGTACAATTAGGTATTTTTTTTTTGAACTGTAGCGTCCCGCCTGAGGTAGGTTTCAGTAAAAACCTGTGTTTCAGGCCATCACTCCACTAAGATGAGATTAGGATGTCATTGTGAGAACGTACAATCTACACAATTTATAAACGAAGTTATTTATATACCAAGCAGAAAAAAAAAA